ACAGATGTTGGTGGAATGTTGCATGAAATAACTCTCCATGGGTTCCGCTTTCTATTTATTATGATCGGCTCTGAGACGTCGCCATCTGCTGATTATTACTGAGCACTACAGTTCAGGTCTATGGCGTGCACACCTTCCCTAATCAAGAAAGTCTAAATAGACTGCTGGACATTCAGGCTGATGGATAGGTCTGTCTGGGGAGGACCGCTATACAGGTCTGTCTGGGGAGGACCGCTATACAGGTCTGTCTGCTAAGGGCCCCGGATACAGGTCTGTCTGGGGAGGCCCCCGGATACAGGTCAGTCTGGGGAGGCCCCGGATACCGGTCCGTCTGGGGGGCCCCGGATACAGGTTAGTCTGCGGAGGCCCCGGATACAGGTCAGTCTGGGGAGGCCCCGGATACAGGTCAGTCTGGGGAGGCCCCGGATACAGGTCAGTCTGGGGAGGCCCCGGATACAGGTCAGTCTGGGGAGGCCCCGGATACAGGTCAGTCTGGGGAGGCCCCGGATACAGGTCAGTCTGGGGAGGCCCCGGATACAGGTCCGTCTGGGGAGGCCCCGGATACAGGTCGGTCTGGGTAAGCCCCGGATACAGGTCGGCAGGGGAGGCTCCGGATACGGGTCGGTCCGATATCTGACTGCTCATGGCCTGGGTTATTCCTGAGAATGGTTTGTACTCGGCATGTCTGTGCTTATCCCGACCATCGGCCTCTCTCTCTACAAAGGTGGAGTCTGCTCACCGGTGTGGTGGAGGTGGTGGTGGGCTGTGTGGTGGTCCAGGGGACGACGGTGATGAACACAGTGGCTGTGGTGCTGTACACAGGGGAGGTGGTGCTGTCGGTCACCCGGATGAGGAGCTCATATTGCGTGCGGTCATATATGCCGCCGTCGGTGTTATAGGAGAACGGGTTGTGCAGGACGTCCTTGCTGCTGGTAGGCGAGCCCATCCGAAAGCGGTTATTGTCATTTCCTGTAGGAGGAGAGGAGGCCGTATATTAACACAGGAAAGGCCGCACTGCTAAAGAGGACCAGTCACCAGGCCGCAGCATCACCCGCCCACTGAACACACAATTTACAAATCAGCTGAGATAAAGTTACTGATTCCAGTGCCCGCTGCTAGATGGAATTGCATGGTGTGCGAAAGCTAGTATGTTCCCTGGAACCCAAAGGGGATAAACGTCCCAAAAATAACACAATTAAGAAAATACAACTTTTTTTAGTTGTTGAGTCATTTACAGCCCCCAGCTGCTTCCTCCGGAGAGGTCTGAGCCCCCCTCGGACATCCCCCCCGGGCTGAGACAAGGCGCTGCCATAGATACTTGTTCATTGGTGGCAGCACCTCCAACCAGTCCAGCTCAGCAGCTGATTTCAGATCGGGGCTCAGACCTCCCTCCGCTCTCCCCGGTGATGGCCTCATCTGAGGGGTATGGGGGAGTTGGGGTGGCCAAAGCAAAGCCACTTAAGGCCCAGATGCAGCTCCCCATACTAGCTGTTTGTGGGTGAATCTCATGGCGCTGAACACCAATGACGGCCCATCAGGAGAGGTCGGCCATGTTCTCTCTCTGCAGGTAATCTGCGTATGCGTGGAGACATCCGGGGGCTATGTACAGCCGATAAACCAGTGCACACTGGGAGATGACTCACCGCCCACAATGGAGTAAAACAGCACGGGGTTAGAAACGTCCTTGTCGCTGCAGCTCAGGGACACAATTGGGGTTGTCGTCAAGAGGGTGGAGTAGATGGTCGCGGAGTAAAATGGAGGCGTGCAGATGGGGGGATTGTCATTGAAGTCCTGGGGGGGGAACAATACAGAGAGATGAACATGCATCGGAAATCCCTCCGCAGACGCGCCACCCACCCAGCATGAGAGATTTTTATTGCGGTCTGTGTCCCCATTGGGGAGATTCACCCTCACTTCTTGTCATGGTGAATGTTAGAAGTCAAAAAAAATCCCAAATTTAGGGCAGATGGGAAATCCTCCAATGGTGACCACCAATTATTTCCTTCGCTTTGCAGGGATTTCTTCTCACTTCCTGCTGTGGCTCTCAGACAGGAAGTGAAGGGAAATCTCCCCAATGGCAAAAAAAAGCTGACAGGGGTTATATAACTAGGGATGCACCGATGCCGAGTATTTGGGCGAGTACTCGCCAAATGCTCCGATGCCTAGCCCGATACTTGAGCTTCTGGTATCAGGAAGCGGGGCAGCGAGTCATTACATGCTGGCCAGCTTCCTGATTGGCTGGGCAGCTGGCCCCATGCTCCCTCATTACTTAGTGACGAGGGGGCATGGAGCCGGCTCCCTGGCCAATCGGGAAGCCGGGCAATGTGTACGTGTAAGCCGGGCTAAAGGTAGAAAACAACCACATGCCCGACGCCCGGAACTGCATGTCCCGGGTGTCCGGGAGATAGGAATTACACACCCCTGCTGCCCCTCTACTCCCTGCTGCCCCTCTACTCCCTGCCGCCCCTCTACTCCCGCCTGC